GTGCCTGGCAAGGTTGGCACTTTTTGTAGATATCATGAGACACCTGAATGGCAGGCTGCTTCTGGGAAGGTAAGGGGCAGTTTGGAGCCTGGCTGGGCTGCTGCAGGCTGGGGCCGGGGCAGCATGAAGGTACTGCTGCAGTCGTGGGGTTGAGGACTTGGCCTCCGAGGCAAACGTTGCTGTAGCTCCTGAGAAGAAGGAGCAGGCATGAAGGAACACGTGTGGACTCACTGGGTGGAAAGAGGTTGCTGACTATAGGCCCAGTCTATAGGAGGGCTGCAATAAGGCAGAACCGTTCTCATCTGCCTGCCCCCGGGGCGCCATGCCTTTGTATACCCCTTATCTTATACACCGTTCACTGCACCCGGGATCCAGTCTCCGCTGAGCTGTGGTCTCCCCTCTGAACACACCTAAGGAGTGTGAGTGTGGTGTGGGGGATGTGGGGATGTGGGCTGCACTACTGTTCTCACCCAGGCTACCTTCACTGAGCTCCTAGGTTACAACATCCTTGTGTTCTTCCCTTACTGGTTGGTGGGCTGTCTTTTGGATTTCTGTTGTTTCCTTTCAGCAGAAAACAAAGGACTTTGTAAAACTCAAATACTGAAAAAAAATATCTAAAGGAAATTAGGTGTGTGTGTGTGAGAGAGAGACAGAGAGAGAGAGAGAGAGAGACAAAGAGATAGAGACAGAGAGAGACAGAGAGAGAGAGAGTCAGAGGGACAGCTTTGGAAAGTTGGTTTCATCTTTTCACTATGTGAGTCTCAGGGACCGAGCACAGTCATCAGGCTTGGCAGCACCCTTATACCATCTCTCTGGCCCTCCACCTTAGTGTTTTGAGACAGGGTCTCTCACTGAAACTGGAGCTTATTTTAGCTAGACTGGTTTGTTGGTGGCCTCCAGGATCTCTCTCTGCCCCGTGGCTGGGGGTACAGGCATGAGCCACCACACCTGACCACATGTGGCTCTGTATGTTGGTGTTGGGGATCCCTACTCCGTCCCTCATGCTTGTACAGCTGAGTCATCTCCCCAGCCCTAAAAAGTACTTGAAATGCTTTGTTTGCAGCTGTGACAAAGACATCAGTGGATCCGAGTAAAACCAGGGGTTGATTTAAATTTTAGAATTGAGTATGGATTAAAATATTTACACCCTGTGACAACACAGTCACCCACTAGGAGTCAAGATGTCTTCCCACACCCTCTTGTCTAGTTTCTCCTTGTCACATTCCCACATTCCCTCCAGCCTTCCCTGATGACGTCAAGCTCTCTATGAAGCCTCCATTGGTGCTGTGCAGGCAGCCCTGGCCAGGGTTTGTGCAGGGAAGAGATGATGGCATGCTGATAATATTAAGGATGAGCCCTAGAAAGGGACAGGGGGCCAAGAGACAGGGAGAAAGTTCAGCCACAGATAAGGAGGTGGCAGTGCTGGGAGCTTTCCATCAGGGCAGTCTTGGTTAAGAAGGGGAACCAGTGCACACCTTTAGTCCAAGCACTCGGGAGGCAGAGCCAGGCAGACTGCGAGTTCAAGGCCAGCCTGGTCTACAGAGCGAGATCTAGGACAGGCACCAAAACTACACAGAGAAACCCTGTCTGGGGCGGGGGGTGGAGAAAAAAGAAAAAGAAGGGGAACCAGGTGGACAAAGAGATCTCATTCTCCGGCCTTTAGAATTTCTTGGCTTCAGACTTAAAATGAGACCAGAGGACTCTAAAGTTTCCATCTTGACGTAAGATTCCGTGACCTGGATCTAGTATGTGGGTCTTGGGGGCTAAGAGTCAGGACACCGCTTGCTCTTGGGGCTGGAGAGGATTCCTGGGAGATCACAAAAGCCGTGTGCAGCTCCAGTTCTCTCCAGTCAGCTTCCACATTACTTCATCCTGGGACTGCAGGTCTGGGTTTGGAGGGTGGGTGGAAGTGCAACATGGGACCTCAGGTGGGTACCAGGTTTGGAGGGAGCCGGGAGGTGGTAGGGAGCATGCGTTGGGCTGGTGGGAAAGCTGGGGGGGGGGATCACTGGCATGTATGTGGTCTCCCTGCTTTTCCATAGTGAAGGCTACTGGCTAAAACCTTTCTTCCCATTCTTTGTCTCCTCTAAACCTTTTCCCGCTCCCCCTTGGATGTCCATCCCGTCTCTTCTGGCCCATCTCTTCCTCTCCGAATGTGTTGTTTCCTATTGTCAATTGCTCATTCCTGGCCACGCTTTCCACATGCCCCTCCTTCTGCATCCACTGGCTTCTCCATCCACCCCGCGCAGCAGAGGGGAAGGTGTACAGCTCTGATGAGGAGAAGCTGGAGGCCCCAGCAGGAGACCCCACAGGCAGCGAACAGGAGGAAGAGGGCTCAGGCGGTGACAGCGAGGACAGCTTCCTGGACAGTTCTGCAGGGGGCCCAGGGCCTCTTCTGGGACCTAAATCGAAGCTGAAGGGAAGCCTGGGGACTGGCGCTGAGGAGGGGGCACCAGTGGCCACGGGGGTCACCACTCCTGGGGGGAAAAGCCGAAGGCGGCGCACTGCCTTCACCAGCGAGCAGCTTTTGGAGCTGGAGAAGGAATTTCACTGCAAGAAATACCTGAGCCTGACAGAGCGTTCCCAGATCGCCCATGCCCTCAAGCTCAGTGAGGTGCAGGTCAAGATCTGGTTTCAGAACCGCCGGGCCAAGTGGAAGCGCATCAAGGCTGGCAATGTGAGCAGCCGTTCCGGGGAGCCCGTGAGAAACCCCAAGATTGTGGTGCCCATACCTGTGCATGTCAACAGGTTTGCTGTGCGCAGCCAGCACCAACAGATGGAGCAGGGGGCCCGGCCCTGATGGGGGTCCTGGGGTCCAGAAGGCAAAGGATCAGCACCTGTGCCTGCCCACGACTCCCTGGGGGCTGCCGACGAGAGGGGCGTGGTGGACCCTGCTGGGGAGAGGTCAGCTGTGCTCCTGGATTGCAGACTGGAGTGCGTGGCCTGGGACTGCTCTGGAGACCTCAGAACTGGCGGTCTCAGTGGTGCAGGGTTCAAATGCTGATCTCCGAGAGCTTCTGGAGCAGAAGTGGACTCCTGGGGCAGGGGTATGAAATGCCCAGGACCTACAGGGTTCCATGGCTAAGGCCTGAGGGGGCAGCTTCTAATAGAGGGGAGAAGGCCTGGGTGGCACCGGCCTGGGGCCACAGTTCCTTATTTATTTTGTGTAAAGTTTGTATATATGGAACTATTTTGTCTTTTGTCTGTCTGTACCCCAAAGGGGGACTGGGAAAACTGCTTCCTTGAGCTTCCCTCCATTAGTCTCACCCTGCTACCGCTTTGTGAAGGCGCCATCTCGCTGCTCACTATAAGGACATGCAAAGACATGAGATGGAACTGTCATGGCCAAAGTGGGGGGTTCTTCAGCAGCCCCCCCTTCCACTCTTAAGCATCCCTCCACAGTGCATCCCACCCACCCCACCCCTCCCGTCACCACTGGGCTACTCTGTCCCCACTTCCTGTGAAGAGGCCGACTTTTCTGCTCCTGGCATCTTCTCTCTGGGAGAGGTGGCACACTTCGGGGAGAAACTCCCTTCAGTCCGCACTGAGGGGAGACCCCAGTCTGCCCTGGAGAACATCCAGGTCACCTACATAGAGGACACCGTCCTGTCGGTAACGAGGGCAGGACAGGAGGCCCATCCCACCACCTGAGCTGATAGAGAGGCACACAGCCTCGTCTCGGCCTTCATTTGCTCTCTCTCGTGTGCCAAGGCCTGGGGCAGAGGCCCCCATTGCCTCTCTGCTCTTGCAACCTTAGCTGCATTTTCTCCTGTCCGTTACGTTTTGAAGGGTTAGGCTCCCACCAGCCTCAGAGATTACGGGCAAAGTCAATCCGTGGAGCCGGGCTCTAGATACCCGCAGTCGCTGGAGAAAGGAGACAGAAAGAAGCGCACTGTGGCTGCTGCTGGGGTAACTAGCTTTTTGGGGAGAAACATGACCTGTATGGACTAGAGAAGAGTGGAAAACAGAAAAATGGACAAGCTGCATCAGGCGGTCACCCACCAGGGAGGATCAGAAGCACTTGCACGCCTGGCCTGCCCGACAGGCCACTCCGGCCACTGGTGAGCCCCGGAGGGGCCAAGGAGTCCGAGTCACACCGTTAGGTGTTGAATGCCTCTTAGGAGACCAAGACAGTCTGTCCTTGGCAGTTCATTTCTCCCAAGCCAACTCTAGCGAGGACACGGAGCTAGAGTAGGCTGGCTCTTTCTCCCGTCCTGGGAAGTTCAACTTCAGGAAGGCTGACAATTTAACCTTGAATACGCAGTCCAGGTCCAGCTCATTCCCAGCAAGGTGTGGCTCACAGTCGAGGCTAGGACCCCTTATGCTTGGCCTACACGGAAGTCAAGGCAGAGGCTAAGCTGCTACCTCTGCAGCTGAGCTGGATGGAGTCCAGGTTCTGTGCCGGGGGAGCAAGCACTGGGCTGGAAGGTGGGGGAGGGGCGGCATCCAGGCTTTTGGCTTTCGGTCAAGCTCCAACTGTGCTAAGCAGCGCGAGGCAGCCCAAGCAGCTTGTCTTTAGGGAGTCTGGAGCTAGCCCACATTGGTCCCAGGGAACCCAGTCCTGTACCTACTCATGACGCTGTCCAGATTCCGCCCCGTGTGAGCCTCTTGACAGACTTGAAAAGGGGGATGTGGGTGAAACAATAAAATCTGGTTTCCTCTCAATAGCGTTCCTTGATTATTAACCAACATGTGGACGAGTGCCCGGGCAGGGAGGGCACCAGCCCACCACACGGCCACCTGTTCAAGATGTTTCAGAAAACATGGGCCACTAGCAAGGTGATTCCAGGAATAGGAAACAGACCCAGCACTCAAACTTAATAAATTCTCATCTGTCACAAACTTCAGAAGAGAGGTGTTTCCCCGGGGTTCACTTCAAGAATAACGGGACATGGCATGGAGTTGGGGATCTGGGCTCTGCTTCCAACTTAGCTGGGGACAGGTTAAGCTTAGAAAGCTGCTGGAGGGTGAGGTGGCTCTTGGTCACCAGCGTCCTGCCCCTCCCATCTCCTCGAAGGCCCGGGCCAGCCACTCTCGGATGCCTCCCTCAACAGTGGCCACAGGGGTCTCCGAGTCTCTCTGGAAGGAGAAAGGCTTTGCCTTTGCACACTGCGGGCCAGTGCGGGTGTGGTTACTCCCTCCACAGAGCACTGGTGACAGCAGAGACCGTGGGCAAGTTTTCACGAGTGGGCAGTGAGCGGGAAGGCAGCGCAGGGCAGGAAGTCGAGTCCGTCTCCCGTCACGGACGGGTTTGCCTGTCAAGCTTCTGACAGCCTTTGCTCCATCCCTGCCAAGGAAGCCTGGCTAAGGACACCGGTGACAGAGGACAGCGGGGCAGTACATCTTCAAACGGTCTACAAGCAGAAAGTGGGGCTGAGGGTCGCTCCGGGGAGGTCGAGGTACTGAGGCACAAAAGGAGAAATGAGGCCACACATACAGCCTGGTTTATTGGCTCATCATACACGCACACCACATATATACACGAACATAAATACTCCAATGTACAAATTTTACACGGGACTCGCAGACTGGCCCCTGTCTCTCATCTGGCACCCTCATCCTGTATCCTGTCCTTCCCCACGGACTGCGGGGTGAAGGCCTGTGGGAGCTATCGTGAGGAGGCAGGGTTCTGGAGGAGGGAGAGGTCCTGCCCCCCTCCTCCTCACAGGTACCTCCAAAGGGTTCTGTCCCTTAACGGCACCGTAGGGCAGAGGACTGCACAACACACTCCCGCTCTGCTGCAGCTCAGATCCAAGCCTCTCCTCCATCCCCGGACCTTCTCCTCCCCTCCTCTCCCTCACTGCACACCCCCTGCTCCTCCACTGCTCCCTCCAGGCCATGGAGTCCTTCTGGTCCCTCTGCCCTCTTCCTGAGCTTCATAGGAGACTGGGGCTGCGGTGCAGCTCTGCGGAGGGATTCGTGCCGTTGGCGGGCTCTCTGTTGGGGGTGGGTGCCAACCCACAGCCCTCCCCAGGGCACCCATGCTGGATCAAGATGTCCGCACACTCCTGGCTGCCGGCCCGGCGGGCATAGGCCAGTGGGGTCAGGCCCCGGGCATCACGGCTCCTCACGTCCACCCCGTACTGCAGGAGAAAGCACATTCACAGTTGGCATATGTAGGGGGAAAGGCCTCAGCTCCCAGGGACGGGGAGAGGCAGCCTTGTAGGGGAGACCAGGCCGGAGGTACCCAGACTCACCCAGATGAGCAGCTGTGTGAAGACCACATTGGCCATGGCACTGGACAGGTGCAGGGCTGTCCTCCCATCGCCGTCCCCGTACGTCTCGTTCACCTCCTCCTTGGACCCATGGGCCAGCAGCATCACCAAGAGCCGCAGGTCATCCTCCACCACAGCCCGGAGTAACTGCTGCCCCAGCGGCACGTCGGAGCTTGGCAGCGGGGCCAAGAAGAGCTTCTGTTCATACTTGGCCCGGATCCAGCGTTCCTTCTCCTCTCTGTAAGCACAGGTCCATTGAGGCATGAGGCAAGGACGGAAGCAGGCATGTAGGCAGGG